TGAAGGATCAGCTCCTAGAGAGATATTACCATCTATGGCTACAATACTGATGAAGGATCAGCTCCCAGAGAGATATTACCATCTATGGCTACAATACTGATGAAGGATCAGCTCCCAGAGAGATATTACCATCTATGGCTACAATACTGATGAAGGATCAGCTCCCATAGATATTACCATCTATGGCTACAATACTGATGAAGGATCAGCTCCTAGAGATATTACCATCTATGGCTACAATACTGATGAAGGATCAGCTCCTAGAGAGATATTACCATCTATGGCTACAATACTGATGAAGGATCAGCTCCTAGAGAGATATTACCATCTATGGCTACAATACTGATGAAGGATCAGCTCCCAGAGAGATATTACCATCTATGGCTACAATACTGATGAAGGATCAGCTCCTAGAGAGATATTACCATCTATGGCTACAATACTGATGAAGGATCAGCTCCTAGAGAGATATTACCATCTATGGCTACAATACTGATGAAGGATCAGCTCCTAGAGAGATATTACCATCTATGGCTACAATACTGATGAAGGATCAGCTCCTAGAGAGATATTACCATCTATGGCTACAATACTGATGAAGGATCAGCTCCCAGAGATATTACCATCTATGGCTACAATACTGATGAAGGATCAGCTCCCAGAGAGATATTACCATCTATGGCTACAATACTGATGAAGGATCAGCTCCTAGAGAGATATTACCATCTATGGCTACAATACTGATGAAGGATCAGCTCCTAGAGAGATATTACCATCTATGGCTACAATACTGATGAAGGATCAGCTCCTAGAGAGATATTACCATCTATGGCTACAATACTGATGAAGGTTCAGCTCCTATAGAGATATTACCATCTATGGCTACAATACTGATGAAGGATCAGCTCCCAGAGATATTACCATCTATGGCTACAATACTGATGAAGGATCAGCTCCCAGAGAGATATTACCATCTATGGCTACAATACTGATGAAGGATCAGCTCCCAGAGAGATATTACCATCTATGGCGACAATACTGATGAAGGATCAGCTCCTAGAGAGATATTACCATCTATGGCTACAATACTGATGAAGGATCAGCTCCCAGAGAGATATTACCATCTATGGCTACAATACTGATGAAGGATCAGCTCCTAGAGATATTACCATCTATGGCTACAATACTGATGAAGGATCAGCTCCCAGAGAGATATTACCATCTATGGCTACAATACTGATGAAGGATCAGCTCCCAGAGAGATATTACCATCTATGGCTACAATACTGATGAAGGATCAGCTCCCAGAGAGATATTACCATCTATGGCGACAATACTGATGAAGGATCAGCTCCTAGAGAGATATTACCATCTATGGCTACAATACTGATGAAGGATCAGCTCCCAGAGAGATATTACCATCTATGGCTACAATACTGATGAAGGATCAGCTCCCAGAGAGATATTACCATCTATGGCTACACATATTGATGCAGATTATTCTAACGCTTACCTTATAATAATGCACTAAATCACTGATTTGGCACATTATTGCGCACGTTAGGCTACACATCATGAAATGTATTGAGACCAATTACAGACGGTAGCATACAAGTAGCAAAATAGAACTCAATTGAACATGACATTTATTAAAATAGGCCTATAGCCTACTGTTTATATTTTAATACAGTCATCTCGGTTTTAATTTGAAGCATCTTTTTATACTTGGCTTGATTGTATGAATTTTAAAAACATTGGCAACTTTGTATTTGTAGTCAACTTCGTTCTGAAGTTATCGGCGGTCACAGGGCGATGGATAAACCATGTGATTCCATGTTTAGCAGAGATCTTCTGTGTATAAAGTGATCCAGGAGGGCAAAAACAGCTCTGAGATTTAATGCTCCTAAGGTTGTAACGATGAACTTAGCCTTAAGATGGTTTTGGGAAACAGCTCTGAGATGTAATGATGCTCCTAAGGTTGTAACGATGAACTTAGCCTTAAGATGCTTTTGGGAAACAGCTCTGAGATTTAATGATGCTCCTAAGGTTGTAACGATGAACTTAGCCTTAAGATGGTTTTGGGGAACCGGGCCCAGTACTAGTATAAGGCAGTTGACCCCCTGGTTTTGGGGAACCGGGCCCAGTACTAGTATAAGGCAGTACCGGGCCCAGTACTAGTATAAGGCAGTACCGGGCCCAGTACTAGTATAAGGCAGTACCGGGCCCAGTACTAGTATAAGGCAGTTGACCCCCTGGTTTTGGGAACCGGGCCCAGTACTAGTATAAGGCAGAACCGGGCCCAGTACTAGTATAAGGCAGTACCGGGCCCAGTACTAGTATAAGGCAGTACCGGGCCCAGTACTAGTATAAGGCAGAACCGGGCCCAGTACTAGTATAAGGCAGTTGACCCCCTGGTTTTGGGGAACCGGGCCCAGTACTAGTATAAGGCAGTACCGGGCCCAGTACTAGTATAAGGCAGTACCGGGCCCAGTACTAGTATAAGGCAGAACCGGGCCCAGTACTAGTATAAGGCAGTACCGGGCCCAGTACTAGTACAAGGCAGTACCGGGCCCAGTACTAGTATAAGGCAGAACCGGGCCCAGTACTAGTATAAGGCAGAACCGGGCCCAGTACTAGTATAAGGCAGAACCGGGCCCAGTACTAGTACAAGGCAGTACCGGGCCCAGTACTAGTATAAGGCAGAACCGGGCCCAGTACTAGTATAAGGCAGTACCGGGCCCAGTACTAGTATAAGGCAGTACCGGGCCCAGTACTAGTATAAGGCAGAACCGGGCCCAGTACTAGTATAAGGCAGTACCGGGCCCAGTACTAGTATAAGGCAGAACCGGGCCCAGTACTAGTATAAGGCAGTACCGGGCCCAGTACTAGTATAAGGCAGTACCGGGCCCAGTACTAGTATAAGGCAGAACCGGGCCCAGTACTAGTATAAGGCAGTACCGGGCCCAGTACTAGTATAAGGCAGAACCGGGCCCAGTACTAGTATAAGGCAGTACCGGGCCCAGTACTAGTATAAGGCAGTACCGGGCCCAGTACTAGTATAAGGCAGAACCGGGCCCAGTACTAGTATAAGGCAGTACCGGGCCCAGTACTAGTATAAGGCAGAACCGGGCCCAGTACTAGTATAAGGCAGTACCGGGCCCAGTACTAGTATAAGGCAGTACCGGGCCCAGTACTAGTATAAGGCAGAACCGGGCCCAGTACTAGTATAAGGCAGTTGACCCCCTGGTCTCAGAGCTCAACTTTCTCCATGTTGTTCCTGACCTCTGACCTCAACCCTCTCCTTCAGGTAAGCACCCTTGTACCTGGGACAACGGAGGCTGTTCTCACATCTGTATCGTCAAGGGAGACGGAACCACACGCTGCTCCTGTCCTGTTCATCTGGTGCTGCTGCAGGATGAACTCTCCTGTGGAGGTAGGGCGCCTAAACCTGACCTCTGACCCTGCGGTCCTGGTCACAGCCTTACACTAGATAGTGAACTATGGAGATGGACTGACATGAAATGATATCCCTACCACAACACTTAGAGCACTGAGTGTTGACATGAAATGATATCCCTACCACAACACTTAGAGCACTGAGTGTTGACATGAAATGATATCCCTACCACAACACTTAGAGCACTGAGTGTTGACATGGAATGATATCCCTACCACAACACTTAGAGCACTGAGTGTTGACATGAAATGATATCCCTACCACAACACTTAGAGCACTGAGTGTTGACATGAAATGATATCCCTACCACAACACTTAGAGCACTGAGTGTTGACATGAAATGATATCCCTACCACAACACTTAGAGCACTGAGTGTTGACATGAAATGATATCCCTACCACAACACTTAGAGCACTGAGTGTTGACATGAAATGATATCCCTACCACAACACTTAGAGCACTGAGTGTTGACATGAAATGATATCCCTACCACAACACTTAGAGCACTGAGTGTTGACATGAAATGATATCCCTACCACAACACTTAGAGCACTGAGTGTTGACATGAAATGATATCCCTACCACAACACTTAGAGCACTGAGTGTTGACATGAAATGATATCCCTACCACAACACTTAGAGCACTGAGTGTTGACATGAAATGATATCCCTACCACAACACTTAGAGCACTGAGTGTTGACATGAAATGATATCCCT